AATTTGATGGTTACTTTTTACCAAATAAAGAAATCCTAATAAACCTTGCAAAAGGAAAACAATATTATTCCAAATTTGATGGTAAATCAGGATTTTGGCAAATAAAAATGGAAGAAGATAGTATACAATATACAGCTTTCAGTACACCTCAAGAAAAATATGAATGGTTAGTTATGTCATTTGGTTTAAAAAATGCACCTCAAATATTTCAAAGGAAAATGGATAATATATTCAAAAAGTTTAGTGATTTTCTTATTGTTTATATAGATGATATACTAATATGCTCTAATAGTAAAAAAGAACATAGGAATCATTTATTACAATTCATAAATGAATGCAAAAAGGAAGGAATCGCACTTTCTAAAAAGAAATCTATAATTGAGAAACAAGAAATAGATTTTCTAGAATTATCAATAGATAGAAAAGGAATAAAATTACAAACTCATATATCTAAAAAGATAGAAAGCTTTCCAGATGAATTAAAATCTAAAGAACAAATACAAAAATTTTTAGGATGTTTAAACTATGCTGAAGGATTTATTGAAAATCTCTCAAAAAAGAGATATAAGATACAAATTCTACTTAGAAAAACAAATACTAAAGGTTGGAATAAAAAACATACTAAAATTGTTAAAAGCATTAAAAGAAGAATGTAAAAATTTACCAAAATTAAGATTACCAGATGAAAAAGATAATTTAATTGTCAATACTGATGCCTCGGATAAATATTGGGCAGCTATATTAAAAACAGATTTAAATGAAATATGCAAATATTCAAGTGGAACTTTTAACCAAGCAGAGATAAATTATACTACCCATGAAAAAGAATTGTTATCAATTATTAGAGGAATAAAAAAGTTTTCATTATTCCTTTTATCTAAAAAATTCATTGTTGAAACTGATAATTCTCAAGTTGCAGGTCTTATTAGAAATAAGTTACCTATGGAACCTCAATATAGAAGGTTACACAGATGACAAGCATATTTATTATTTTACAATTTTGATATTATTCATATTAAAGGAATAAATAACAATCTTGCAGATTTTTTGAGCAGGAACATCGAATTTGGAGATGGATAATATCAAAAATTCATTAATAGACGTCAACAGACGAATGAAATTCCTCATGGAAGAATCTGAAGATATGAAAATTGGAATTGAGCAATTAGAGGAAATGGCAGAATCTATCCAACAAAATATCAAATTGTTGGTGGAAATCTCTAATTCTCATTCCAAATATACCAAAGAATTGAATGACAGAATTGTTGATATTACTTCACAATTCGAGTCATTAGATACCAAACAGGAAATACCAATTGATACAATCTCAAAAATACAAACAGGTACACAGCCAGGAAGCAGCAGTGGACCCAGCAATATCAAACGAGACATAGCAAGTCCCCGGAAGGTGACTATAAAAAATGGTGATGAACATACAAGAGTTATAAGAATCAAAACTGATGAAAATGATGATGCCCCTTTATCATCAAAAGAAGAAGAATATAGATCATTTGCCAAAATTGTTTATGAAGTAGAAGAAAATAAATCTTATTTTATTGTATCGGGAGATCATGTTTATCCCAGATTAATAATTACCAAAGATGCAAACCCTTTCATGGTCAAAATGGCAGCAGATTATGGATTTCTGGATCTGATCTATCCAGGAAAAAATTTAAAAGAAATTGAAAATTTTGATGATATATTCAAGGTAGAAGTTTCAAAATTTGCCCAAGGGAGATCGATCAATATCAAATTTTATTCAATAAGTCCCGAGATTGATGGGAGGATATATTATCCTGCTGAACACATTATTACAATTGGATATGTTGGCCGAGATTTTCAGATTGAAGTTGGCCAAAAAATAATAAACCATTGCCTAAAATCAATAAATCATGGATAAAATTTCGGAGAGTTTTGGGGATGAAAGTTCTTTACAACATTGCAAAGAACTTATATGATAAAAAATTCATATGCTTGTGCCAATATGAAAGATGGACACTCCTTACAAATAATGGAAAAGAAAAATCTACCATTTTGAAAGAATATATCCAAAAATTTGATACTCATCAAATTAGTGGGAGTCCAACAACAATCCAAGAATCATGCAGATTGAGGGAGTGCCCCACATGTAGACAAAATTGAAAGATTGATGGATAGAAAAGAACCTACCACTACCAAAGCATCCAGCCATCTGCATATAAAGTCAAAGATGGAAAAGCAATAATAGAAAAGCATCTAGCCAGCTACATATGAAGCCAAAGATAAAAAGGCAATAATAGAAGAAAAGATGCCTCTTTGATGAAAAAACAAAAAATGCATGTGAAAATGTAGACCCCAGGAGGAAAAGAATAGAGAGGCATGTAAGCCTTTTTTCAAAATTCTGTATGCAATGATGTAATAGATCAATAATAGTGAGTTTGAGTTATGTATAAATAGAGGTGTTTGGGGAAAGAATGGATCATCTCGAGTTAGAACCATTCTCTTTCCTTAAGCTTTCTTCAAAACCAGTTTTTCTTAAAATCCCTTGTATACAATAGAAATCTTGTATAAATCATTATAAAAATAAAATCTCAATCTTTTGATATCAGAAAAATATGAGTTTCTAAACTTCCTATCCCATAGATTCTTGATAGATTGAAGAAGATAATCTCTTTCTTACTTTAACTAAGAGAGAATTTTCTTTACTTAAGATTTTTACTCTTAATTCTAAGAAAAGATACAGTGAGGGCAGAAGCTGAAATAGCAGAATTCCCATTGAGGCAAAAGGCCGTTTGAGGGAACTGTTTGCAGATTCAGAGCCTGAAAGTCACTCGATTCTAAAAATACAGATTTAAAATCAAAAGTAAGGTAAAATTATTCTCTTTGTTAAATTTAGAAAGAATTCTTCTAATATCTTGAAAGAATCGTAGGGATTATTACTTTTTATGGTTGCAAAAAACTTATCTAACATGTTATTATTATTCATAAAGCTTGCAAGGAATTATCTGAATAATACCAGGTTATACAATTAAATGATTAGATAATCTGTTAGAAAAACTATTAATAAAAATAAGAAATATTTTTGCTCAACTAGAAATTATGGATATTTCATCTAAAGAATATGATAATCTTAGTAAATTACATGACAATTATATTATAGATTATGCCAATTTATTAGATCAAAGGACGGAACTATATATTAAAACTCGAAATGAGAGAAATAGAGAAATTTTAGAACTATTCTAATAAATTAAGGATATCTTGTGCAAAATATAACAAATCATTTCATTAAAGGTATTATAGACATTTTACCAAAAATGAATAGTGGCAGGTCATTTAGAAAAATCTCCCGTGTGTGTGTGTGTGAGAGAGAGAGAGAGTTACATGAAAAATAAAATCTCATTCTCCCTAAAAAAAATATTTTCTTTGATTTTGAAAAAAACATGGTCACGTGATCAAAACTGGAAAAATATTTTCCATTGAAGAAAATGTCAATCAAACAGTACAAAAGTAAGAATTTGAATAAAAAACACATTTTTCATTAAAAATATTGGCAATCAAACGCACCATAAGTATTTAATTGCTATAATAATTGAAAATATTTTAAAATATAAATCTTCAATATGTATCTATTAATTTATGGGTTGTCTACCGTTTTGAAAAAATGAAAAATAAAAGCGCCAGTTTATTTCAATTTTCCAAACCGAAATGGTGACCAGTGAGCACGTCTATTTGCTAACCAACCAACATCAGAAAATGGCTTTTAACTAATTTGAAGAAAAGAAAGATATTTTTGGCACTCGTACATGTGCATATTCGATTTGGATCTTGCTACCCGACAAACCCACTTTCGAGTGGGGCCCAAATTTGCTTTACTCATTTCTTTCTTTTTATTTAGCGGAGTCCCATGTTTTAAAATAAAATGAATTTTGTAATTATAATTTTTTTGAAAAATGTGTGGTTAAAAGGTTGGAAAAATTTTGAATTTACATGTATAATTATTTTATTTGAAGAATGCGTGATTGAAAATGAGTTTAACAAAATGAATTTTGTAGAATGAGGCTCAATCAGGAGCTTATTTTTTAGAATAAATCTTCCAAAAATGAGAATTTTTTTAGTTAATTAGTATGGTACCATGAGTTTCAACTTTCTATGAATCTTCACAAACTTTAAAACATTGGATTCATCTCATCTAGGTGAATTTATTCTCATGTTGTTTTGATACGTGTAATAGTCAAATTAAAATTGAGTAATTTAAATGAATTATGCTACATTTACAGACTTTTTTTACAAAATCATTTATTCACTACTCATAATAGAAGATGGGAACTATGAGTCGATATTTTTTAAATTCACGTGGGGGCCACTTGTTTGTGAGAGTAAGTAACATATTTTGTACAAATTTGTTTGTACATATTTATTTATCAATTTCGATATACTAGGACGTTTTATTTTCTTCTCGTGTCTATTATTAACTTTATAATTTATTATATTATATTCGTGAACAATCTATAGTATAAGTTTTATATATAAAAATTGAAGATTGGTGATTTCCATATTTTAGTATGCAACATAAACACGTTTGATTTTTGTTTGAAAGTGAAGAATAATATTTCTCTTGTTGGAAAGAAGTTAAGTTGTTAATATTAAAAATAAATTTATTCCTTTTCTACAAAAACAAGTAATTACTTTTATTTATCAGAAAGAAAAAAAAATTATAGCCATAAGGGCTTAGAGCAATCTGTGGTCTAAGGCTTCATAATTCTCAGTGTTGCTATTTACTATTAATTCTAATCAGAGACGAATGTAGAATAGGACTGGAAAATTTTATAAACCGGACATATGAAACAAAAAATAAAAATAAATTTACGTGAATCAATATTTTAACTAAACAAGCAAAATTCTTTAATCACTTATAAGCTTAGCCAAACAACCATAATTCGAATGTTTTAAACAAGTTCGAGATGAGATATTCATGGAAAGACGAGCAGGATGCCTTGATCATTGGCCACATAAAACGTCCAGACAGCAGAGAACAGACTGTAAAGAGAATCCAGCCTGTCTGCTTACCCAACTCCTCACGCGCCACCTTCTTCCGCCCAATCAAACCGCCACCACACCACATGCAAGAATGTAAACGGCCCCACTAATGAACTCTCTCTCTAGCAAGTAATGAAAATCCCAAAATCCCGCGCGTAGAACCTGTCAGAAAATTTCTGATTTTGTAAGGTTTTTCTAATTGTACATTGTTAAACGTTACAATTAATTACACTGTTTTTACACATAGTATTGCGTATCTCCAATTCAAAACCATGGCCACTCATTCACTCCATGTTCAGATGTCAATCTCCACCTCACACCAATGATATAAAAGTCCTTTTTGGAAGAGACTAAAGGGTCTTTCTTTCCTTACATTTTCGAACTTTTCTTCTACTATTTTCTTGAATCTCCGATGTCAGAACCTAAAAGGTACATTACTTCAGAAGAGCTCAAAAAGCACAAGAAACCGGGGGATCTGTGGATTTCTATTCAGGGTAAGGTGTACGATGTTTCAGAATGGGTAAATCATCACCCAGGTGGTGAGCATCCACTCTTGAATCTTGCCGGTCAGGATGCAACTGATGCATTTGTCGCTTTTCATCCGGGCACTGCCTGGCAATATCTTGATAAATTCTTTAATGGGTTTTACTTTGAAGATTATTCTGTTTCTGATGCATCCAAGGATTATAGGAAGCTTGTTTATGAGTTTTCAAAGATGGGGCTTTTTGACAAGAAAGGTCATACTGTTTTCTTCACTATGTGTTTTATAATAATCCTTTTCGCTGTGAGTGTTTATGGTGTTCTTTGCTGTGAAAGCCCATGGGTGCATTTGATTTCTGGTGGTTTAATGGGGTTTCTTTGGATCCAAAGTGGTTGGCTTGGGCATGATTCTGGGCATTACCAGATCATGCTAACACCAGGGCTTAACAGATTTGCTCAAGTTCTTACGGGAAATTGCCTTGCAGGTATCAGCATTGAGTGGTGGAAATGGAACCACAATTCACACCACATTGCTTGCAATAGTCTTGATTATGATCCCGATCTTCAACATTTGCCATTTTTCGCAGTATCGTCTAAACTTTTTAGCTCTATCACTTCTTATTTCTATGATAGGAAATTGAATTTTGATTCTTTTGCCAGATTCTTGGTTAGTAACCAGCATTTCACATTTTATCCTGTCATGTGTTTTGCTAGAATTAACTTATGGGCACAATCATTCATTCTCTTATTCTCTGATAGAAAAGTTCCTAATAGAATTCAAGAAATTTTTGGACTGCTTGTATTCTGGATTTGGTACCCTTTACTGGTTTCTTGTTTACCAAGTTGGAGTGAAAGATTAATGTTTGTTATAGCCAGTTTTACGGTATGCGGGATTCAGCATGTTCAGTTCTGTTTAAACCATTTCTCATCAAGTGTTTATTTTGGACCCCCAAAAGGAAATGACTGGTTTGAAAAGCAAACAAATGGGACTCTTGGGATTAAATGTTCATCTTGGATGGATTGGTTTCACGGTGGATTACAATTTCAGGTCGAACATCATTTGTTTCCTAGGTTACCTCGATGCCATCTTAGGAAAATCTCCCCTTTTGTCAAGGAATTGTGCAAAAAACATGGATTGCCTTACAATTGTGCATCGTTCTGGGAAGCTAATGTTATGACAGTAGCGACGTTGAAAAATGCTGCGATGCAAGCTCGGGATTTTACAAAGCCGGTGCCGAGGAATTTAGTTTGGGAAGCTGTCAACACTCATGGTTGAGATTGAAGAATATTGTTGAGCTTTTGCAGAACTTATTTCAATTGTCTCTTTATCTTCTACTTGGACATTGTTTCCTTATGTTATTTCGAGTAAAAATGAACTATGTTTTGTTTTAGTACTATAATTCAAGGCTTCAAATTTTTTCTTGTTCTTGTTGACTTATGCTGGAACGATACGGTGAAGAGCATGTTTGGCTAAGTTTATAATGTTTACTTATTAGTAAATAAGTGACTTTCAATTGTTGATCAAAATGGAAAATAAGTTGTCCTTTTTTTTTGCGGTAAGATAAGAGTTACTTAGAAGTGTTTATTACCTGTTTTAAGCATGGCCAAACATGGTTTCTAGTAAAAATGAGTTATCTTAGAAGTGTTTATTACCTGTTTTAAGCATAGCCAAACCTGGTTTCTAGTAAAGATGACAAATGGATCCGACCCATGCGAAGTGAGACCTAGGTTGAGCGAATAATGTTATTTTGGCACCAGTTTAGATGATAGCGACAACAATTTAGACTTGTCCAACGAATCAAAATGCATCTTAAAGGCAAATACTAGTAATAAGATTTAATTATTTAATTATAAGCTGTTTGCATGCAAGATTGGTGTGGCAAATTAAAACATACAATGGGTAAGAATATTTGTGCGCGTAATTATAAAACTCGGACTGGACCGGTCGGTTCAGCCCGAAAATTCTTGAACTGGAGCCAGGTCCAGTCCGAGTCACACAGATTTAATGGTAGACAAACGAACCGTTTGAATACCGTCGAACCGTAGTCTTTTTAAGCAACCCGCCGAGCCATTTGCCTTTGACCCAACTGGGTCTTATGCATTTTTTTAAAACCTATTTTCTCCTCTTCTCAATTCCCCAATTCACGTTATTAGGTGATTCTTCCTCCAAAATCAAACTTCTCTACTGCCACCTTCAATTCAACCATTCCCAAAAATCCAAATCTCCAATTTCAAGTCTTAAGAGATGGAAGAAGAACAAGCCAGTACGCAGCCAATAGAAATAGAGTTTGATTGATTATTTGAAAATATTCGTGTGGAGGATTTCAATTTTTCAGAACAAGATATGGTTGTTTTTATGCAATTTAAGATTCTTACAAAGCATAATTGCATAAATATGAATTCCAAAGAAGAATTTTTGTTTCTATGTTGTTTTACAGACTTGAATGGGATAGCAGCTACGCTTTTTGGATTTGGACGTCAATTTACATAATTATGTATTTTGACATCAATTTTTGGATTTGTACAGCATGTAAAAGTGTTAAAAACATGTTAAACTTTTTATTTTTGTTACGTAATGAATAAATAGGGGAATAGATTATTTCTGATGTGAAAGGAACAATTATGTAAAATTGTTATAAGAAATTATTTCTGGTACGAAAAGAACATATTATTTCTATTAAGCTTTCCTTGAGATGCATGTGAAAGTGTATAAAACTATTAAAATTTCTGATTTTTGTTAGACAATGAAAATCAGTTGCCTGTGCCCCATAATTTTTCAATGTTGAATACTTGTATATATAAGGTGGCCACTTGATACGTAATTTACCTTATACATTAACATTGCTTGTATAACATCATTCATTGGTGAACGCTAAATATTTGTATTGAACTTGTTTTTTCTTTGTATAGTTCACTGGTGATAATAGTACATCGCATAATTTTTCTCTAACAAAGAATCGTGCTAGAGAAAGAACTGATATAGCATGGGATCATTGTAGAGAGGTTTTAGAAGCTAGTGCTAATGGGAAAAAAACTTGTTTGCTTGTATTGTGGAAAGACTTCTAGTGGAGATGATATTATTCGAGTCAAACAAATTTAGAGGGATTAAAAGGTGATGAACATTCTTGTCATAGAGTATCTCCTGATTTTAAATTTAAAATGAAAGAAAATTTGGACATCTTTGATGCAAAGAAGCGTGGAACTTAAGAAATTCTTGAGAGGTGTAACCACATAGCTCTTATTATCGAGAACAAGAAGAGCAAATGTATAGTGATTTGGGTGATGATGATGTTCAAGAGATCATCCCTCCTAGTTCTAAAGGAAATGATATAGCTATTGAGAAAAGTCAAGGAAAAGGAATGGGAGCTAAACATTTAAAAGAATAAAAAGGAATTGGTTCTTACTTCATGCTAAGAGCAGGACCTAATAATCAACAATCAAAAGTGTTTTTCAAGGGAAAGAAGCTATAGAGAAACGTGACCTGACTATATTTAAATGAATGATTGATCAGTATATTCCTTTCAAGCTGTAAATTCTGTATATCATCAACAAAATATAGATGTCATAGTTAGCATAGGCTTTGGCTACAAATGTGTGAACTTTCACAATCTTTGTGATTATTCGTTTGGTAAGAATGTCGAGGGGGTAAAGAATTATGTTGAAAGCTATCATTTAACATGAAAGATGAATTGTTGAACAATTATGGTAGATGGTTAGACAAATTAGTATAAAATAACTCTTTTATTGTCTGAAAGGAACAGTATTCTTAAAATCCATAGATACTTCAGACAAATAAAAAATGTCAACATGTTATACAAGTTATTTCTAGTAATGGCAAAAAAATTCGCCTTACCCTGTCTCGACGGGGCCTGTCCCGAAAGGGTTGGTGGGGTGCCCCGTCGCGGGGCATGGGGCAGGGTGGGGCGAGGATGCCCCGCCCCCGAACCGGCCCTATGAAGGGAAAAAAAATTAAAAATAATTTTATTTTTAGACAATTCACCGGTTAAAAATCCATTTTAAATTTGTATTTTATTATCTAATAATAACATAATTCGAAATTTTGAAAATGTAAAAATATATATATATATATAATAAAATAAAAAAAATTAAACAGGGCAAAAAGTTGTCCTATCCCTCGCCGCCTCGTCTAAGGCGGGGTGGGACGAGGTTTGGGCGAGATGAGGTGGGGGTGGAAGGGGGCACCCAGCCCAGTCATTAGAGATGGCAATTTACCCGCCCAATGGGGCGAGGCGAGGCATAATTCCTCACCCCGTCACTGGGCGGAGCAGGGCGGGACTGCCCCTCCCCGAACCAGCCCCGTGTTTGATGTTGTTTTTTCGAGTGTTTCTTTGAATATTGATGTTAATATGAGCATTAATTATTTCGAGATGTTGTGTTATTTGTAGGTTTAGAATATGTGTTCTATGCGGTGACGGACAAAAAATAAGAATGAGAGGAAACTTTGAATAATGCTATTCAGTTAAAAGGCATGGTTAGGGAAGTACAATTTTTTTTCATTTACTATTTTTATTTTGGATGGACTAATAATATAGAAGAATTCTTTTTATAATTTTATTTCATAAATGGATTTGGGGCATCGCTGGGCTGCCCTCACCTCCACTCTTGTATTAAGTCTAATTGGTGGTTAGTGCCAATCTATTTGACAATAAAATTATTTTCTATTGTCCCATAAATATAAAAATGTATATTTTTATACTTTGAACAATGTTATACCGATCCTATTACACAGTATTTTAATAAGTGTAAAGTGTGACTAAATATGGAAGTCAAATTTCAAGTTTCACGAGCCTAGACAAGACCTTAATATAAAAAAATACTTTGTCTTGTATTTGATATTATTTTTAATTTTTAATCATTCTAAAAATTATTTAATAATCTAAATATTATATACTAAACATCTAAAATTATAAAATACTACATTTACTTACTATTTTTTACAGTTATTCAATGATACAATTTTCAAATTTTTGAAATGCAAAAGTTATTTTTGACTTTTATAGAAATAAGGTCATTTAAAAACTTGAAATTAAAGTCTAATATAAGGCTTTTAAGAAATAAAAAATTAATAAAATGTGACTAGTCATGCAATAAACGATCAACTTGACAGTTGATTGCTTCATTTACCATTCATTGTCAAATCGTGTTTTTAAGAGCACTGATTACACCAGATACCCACTAAAGTGACCAAATTATATTTATGCTATGTTTGAACCTCATTTTGTATTAAAAAAAAATGAGTTTTATAAAGGTGATTTTTTAGTCATCAATGATTCTGTAATTTCAGATTCCAATAATGGTAAAGAATCTCGCCAAATTGAATAGAAACTGAAAACTGAGAATATTTACTAACCGTAGATTGGACCCCCCACTGAACATATATTTCATCTAACGGTTTTTTTTTTAACGAAAGATTCACCAACTCCCGAGTTGATAATAAACATAATTTTATATCATTAAGCCCCACCAACCCAATTATTAATTTCACTAACGGTACTCAACTTTTCACTTCATGTCACTTTGACCTGTGAATTTTAATTTATTTCTGACTCACTTTCAGTAAATAGCCATTAGTTAAATATTCTCCAAACATACCCTAGAAAAACTTTATGGTTACTTCCTTACCTAAAATTAACGTTTACTGTTGTGGTGCTTTGTTTATATATCTTTAGAATGGTAAACTAGTAAAGTGAGTTGAGTTAGTAAATTCAGTTATTATTTCGCGTAAGGACTATATAATCTTAATATATTTTTTACTATCAAATTCGATGGTTGTGAGCTCTGACCATGAGTGATTTGAATTTCTATTAAGAGTCCATTTGATTTTAAAGGTGAAAAAGACAAATCAATTTCATATAAGTTGGAAAAGAAGAAATCATCAAAATCTTATAAATGCATATCTATGGAATTGACCAATAATATGCTTTAAGTGTTTATATTTTCGAATTCGAATTTCATGTCCATTTTCGTATCAAACAGTCAAAGTAGAAGACGAATTTCTTTGATGTGACATTTTTCATGGAATTCACTCTAATCAAACGAACCCTAACTTATTTGTCACAGTTAATTAGCTTGACATGTCATATATTTTTGCAATGGACAATTGACATAAAACGTCCCTACCTTTCATGTCTATTGTGAAAAATAATTATACCTTTCATTTTTTGACATTTTTACCCCTATTTCCACATTTCTTGGCGCTAAACGTCATTTTCACCAATTTTGGACAATTTTACCCTCAATTCAAATAAAAAAAAGGAAAAAACAAATAACTAATTACAACCACAACCCCCAATTTTTAAAAAATTACAAATCAATCGAAAATATATACAAAATTTACAACATAGGTGCCAACAACCATGGAACCCAATTTCCGTAAGGATCAAAATGTAATTTTATCTCCAT